CCATCCATCCACCCATCCACCCACCCATCCATCCATCCATTCGACTAGTACTCAGACCCTTTACAATATGTCTGTATACTTCTACGTACAGTTGCTGTCAATCTCATGACATGTGTTATGCCCAAGACTGTAACCCAAACATGGTCACCTACAAATACCGAACGAGAAGGCAAACATCAGATGCATGCAGCATCACTTGCGGTAAGTCCCAAAGGAGCTAACGAAAATAATTGGCATTTCAATAGCAGCGATTTCTGAAGTGTAAAATTAAAAATGTTTCAGTGATTAGGAAATTAAAAATAAAAAGGAAGAGAGAATAAAAACTCAAGAAAAAGTTGAACTTAGTTTCCACTTAGCGTCCACTCACTAAAACATCAAAAAGTAACGCAGACACGATCGGAAATGTTGTGATATCGTCGTCTGCGCATGCGAAAAACAGACATGCCAGTGTGAATGACTTCAACATTTTCAAAGGCCTCAGTTTTTGCTTTCCGCACTAAGGCCACTTCCTCACTGATGCGTTTTCGAAACGTACGTTCACGTCTCAACGTAAACGCATTAAAAGATACGCGTCCACCAACTAGAAGTTGATTTTTGAGGAGGGATAAAAACCCCAAGGAGAACAAGAAAGAACCTACAAACAACTCAGCTACTCTATTACGAACCGAACCCGGGTCGCATTGGTGATTCTTGGTGTAAACCTTGACATGCACCACAGGCAGCCCAATCTCTTGTTCTGTGGTGCTGTAGTATTAGAATACATTAGCGGTAATATTTCGTAGCGTGTAAAATTAGTACTTTTAAGAATAAAAACGACTTTCTTTGATAGCTTGTTGTATCTTTTGATGTTTTGCTGATTTTGAAGCCAGTTTTTTTTAGGAGGACCTAAAAACGATAACTTCGTAAAAGCGCACCAAATAAAACTGGCTTCAAAAAATCAGCAAAACATCAAAAGAAGATACAACAAGCTATCAAGGAAAGTCGTAACCTAACCCTAAATAATTTTTTTTTCTTCTTTTCGTCTTTTTCTCGTGGTGCTAGAGGACAAGCAGGGTTCCTGCGGGAGATCAGTTTGTGAATGTGACAGAGAAGCTGCCCGCTGTTTCGCAAGAAACATGCGCTAGAACCCAAAACACAAGTCATGGTACCRCTAGGAACACCTGCATCGTAAATATAGACGATAGTCGATTAATCTAGTAGTTAAAATCTCGGGTAGCCGAGTAGTTAAAAACTCGTCTACTCGGGTAGTTAAGTACTCAGGCAGTGAAGTAGTTGAAAACTCGGGTAGTCAAATACCCGGGTAGTCGAGTAGTGAACTCCGATAGTCGGGTAGTTCTAAACTCGGGTATAGTCGGGTATCTAAAAACTCCGGTAGTCTGGTAAAAGCTTAAGGGAATCAAATGTTGTTGTTATAAATACAATTCAAACTCAATGTTAATAAATTGACTAATCGTACTACCTCACCTAGCAATCCGTCGAATTATGTATAATTTATCCGAAGACGGAGTGATTTTCACCGTCTACCAAACCTCTTAGTATTTGAACCTCCTAAATCAACCTTCTCGTTCTGGCGATAAACGTTACTGCATGTTACCTAAAGATGCATGAGGAGGGGGAGGGAAGAGATCCATTTGCTGACCTTGGAATAAATGTTTCGGATCTTTCGTGGTGTCCAAGACACCGAAACATGAAGACAACAAGAAAATAGCCAAGGATAATGAATTTAGAGCTAAACAATACCCAAGAAAGTCCTGATTTTTCTTATTATGGGCCAAAAAAATGTTGAATATTTACACCTACTTGCAAGAACGTTGACATACAAGAATAGAACATTAGTAATTTAGTGAGAAAGGAATACATTAAAAGGCAAAAGAAAAAGTTCAGGTTCAGTGATCTTCTTTTGTTTTTAAATATAATTCCTATCCCACTAAATCACTAATGTTCTATTTTCGTATGACAACGTTCTTGCAAGTTGGTGTATATAGAAATTGCTCTTTGAAAAGGGTAAAAATATGACTGAGATCAAAGCACCAAATTTTGGTTTGAAAACTATATATATGTATGTATGTATGTATGTATGTATGTGGGTTATACAGTCAATGTCGTTAACGTTGTCCACCGAAAAAAGGCATTTACACATTTACACATTTAGACTAAAAGCTATATATCACGTGTTTCATTATGTATTCTTTGCCTCGTGTGTGCCAGCCTGAACTTTAAATGTAAAATTCAACTCGTGAATCGAAAATCCAGAATGCCTTGCCCATTTAGTGAGGATTTAAGATGAAGAATGGTATTTCAGCATTTGTTTTATGCCAGAACGTTCGAGGAAACACGTGATATTTCTTTTAGTCTAAATGTGTAAATGTGTAAATGTCTTTTTTTGGTGGACAACGTTAATGACATTGACTGTATATGTGTGTGTGTATATATGTATATTTGAAAATAGGACTTGCTCGGCTTTATAGTGTGGAAATTTGAGTGAAAACGCCATGGTCGAGTTGGAGTCTCAAAGCATAACTATGACAACGATGGTAAAAATAAGACTATGAAGGACATGAAAAGCCTGGAGCATATCCATTAGACTACTTGTCTTCTTCTAGTTAAAATTCTTTTGTTTGTAATCACTTGAAACAAAAGCCATTTATCAGGCAACCAAAACTCCGAGTAAAAGAAAAAGGGTATTAAGTTTGCTACATGCGCCCGAAAAGGGCCAATGTAGCTAAGCCACACTTCATGAGGATATACTTTGAAACAAAACAAACAAAAAAAGAAAGAGAGAGAGAGATGAAGAAACAGAAACACGATATACTTGTATCACTAGGAATGATAAGGAATGATAAGGAATCATAATTTATTTCTTATTTCAAGAACTTCACTTGTGAATTTTTTTTTTTTTTTTTTTCTTTCTAAGGGCTAAGAAGGGATTTCTTACACGAAGCAATAGCCAACTTTCCGCGATATTCTGGTTGAGTCATCAAGCACAAAACAATTCGAGTCGAGGTTCCAGTGAAACAATAGCATAATCGTAATTATCGAAAGTTGGCTATTGACCATTTTAAGTTGTCCCTTGGGTGAGATAGGGAAAGATAAATGGACACCATTTAGAGTTTCCCGATTTAGCGCAATTAAGAAAAACATATGCCAAATACCCTTTTTGATCATTTGTTAGGCTAAAACTGATTCTACACTAAAAGGTATATTGTTATGCGGGTTAATAGTGAAATTCTAAATGAAAGTTGTGAACATACTTCTTGACATGCTCACAATTCATTAAAAATTTCACCATTAACCATATCACTCTAGACCACTAGTTGCATTTGACCAATATTCCATAGTTACTTTCAATAGTGCCGAAGTGTGGTAAATTTGGGATTGTTTAACCAGGTTATTATTTAAAAACATATAGTGAGTGCAAATTGCCACATATCATGGATTAAAAAAGCGATTGTTTGCGCGGTGCAAAAAAGTGGGCGCGTTAATTGAAACGGTTGATCCCTTCATTATAACCATAGTTGATAGTAAGAGGGGAATGGTTAGGAAACCCTTTTGTTATAAGTCTTTGTTCACTTTTTTCAAGGGTGACCGTGCACAATCCTTTGTTTTACCATTGTTTTACCATTGTTGGCAATGGCTGAGTGAACAGACCAAAATCTTTCTTTTGGCTGCTAGTTCAAAATACTTATAAGAGATGTTTGAATATTCCTTACAACAATCCCAAAGTTTATGTTTACTTAATTCGCAATTTCGGATGAGCATAAATCAAACATTGTGTACGCTCAAGACTAGCCTGCTGTGCAGACGTGTCCCTCCCCACAAAGGAAAGAGCCGACAATAAAAAAATTTGCACCAGGCTAGCTCAAGACCGCTTCAACATCAAAAGCGAACAAAGACCTGATAACAATAGGTTTCCTAACAATTCCCCTCTATTAACTATGACAAAAGGAAAAAATGGAACTTTGTCCTTCCTCGTCTACTATCGATGCTGCGCTCCGATACGGAATGAGTATACAGTCAATTCAAAAAATGTTGTTGCGACCAACTCAAGCCTACGCGACTGGACCGAAAGGAACTCTGGGTAGCAATCATTGAAGCCGAGTTGACTCCATAATTTTATCTGACTAGTTATGCGTGGTTTACAGCACCAACCTTTGTAGGCGAGCGGGAAGTGTTGAAGGAGACTTTTTTTTTTAATGCCTTCATATTTTCGGAATTGTGAACTGAATCATAACTACTTTGTTTTTCTTTCCCTAAACCCAAAGACATGCATTTGATGGATTGTTTCTCGACATTATTATTATTACTAGCGAGAACAATTTATTCAGAACGAATATTTAATCGCTTCAGTGATGTTTACCCATATTCCTTTCGGTCCAGTCGCGTAGGCTTGAGCCGGTCGACGACAACGTTTTTTGAATTGACTGTATATTGAATACTAGTAGCGAAATGTGCCGGCCGGTTTGAAAACTTTAATTCAAAACGGCTTATTTGTATCTATATTAGTCTTTCGGGCTCCAAGACTAATTGCTAACTGGTTTTGCTAAATAGCTATATGTATAAATTATAATGTATAATCATAAATGCTTGACTGTGACGTCAACTTTCATTATACAATATAATATATACATTCCCGCATAAAGTATATATATATACATACTCACAGAGGTGTGCTCTAACATTGTTGCTTCCTACCTGCCAGAAGCTATCCATTTAGAGAACTTTATTTTACTCAACTGGACATTCCTTAAATCGGAATTGTAGTTATCTGCATTGGATAGTACGAGAAAAGCTAAGATCATCTTTTTACTTAGTCAAGTATTGAAGACAGAACTATGTTCTACAAAACCGCCTTATTATTGGTCGCGGTCACTGCCTTTCTACTCACCGAAGTACAGGGCCACAGGAAAAAGGTATATCAATGCGTTCAAATGCAAAATGTCAGTCTTATTCATTAAGAGAGAATTCTTTTCGTATTCAAGCGGCGAGCGCCAAAAACTATYTTYTTGAAGAAAGGCTGTTGTRCAAGGCTAAAATCTTGTTATTCACAAAGTTTAACTTGTTTGGAAGTGGAGATGACCGATGAAAGCGGGAATCAAAGTGTTAACCCAAAGCAAAAGTTTTATTCGAAAATGAGGTTTAGGCCTTTATTTGCTTATTTCCCATATATATTTCCTATAAAAAAGCCTGACAAAGCAACATTCTAACACAAATGCAACAAAACATCTTTAAACAATTGAAAATACCGCTTCAAACAGGCATTTTATCATAGTACATCAGTTTCTAACTGTTTAACAAAGGTTTTGAGTGTTAACCCCAAACGAAAATTGCGATCAAAACTCATAAGAAAGTCTAGTTTTGGCGCTTTTTGCCATTATTGCTCATTATTGAAAAAAAATTCCTCTTAATATATGAAGACTGTTAGCGCAGATATAATGTTGGTTCTTAGGCTGGGATGTGCAGGACGGAAAATTAACATATTCTAGGCCACGTAAGCTCGCCCCTATTTTCATCATCATGGCCACTATAAAGATAACAACATTTTCTATTCTTTTTGTCTATTTTTAGTTTGTTGAAAGCAAGAAAGCAGTACGACCAGAGGGTGAGAAGCTCAGCAGAAAATAATAGATGTAAAATAATTAAATGAAATCATTACCAGGGTAGAAATTCTTCTCTCGAATTACAAGCTGTTAAAATGCGACACGCGTGAATCTAAACACTTTGAACTGCGAACGGCCAGACCTACATATCAACTCCAGCTATTATATAACAATTAGAAATTCCCAGAGATGAGAATGAAATTTAGAAAAAATTCACAATACTCGTTCTTGACCCATCTTCTGAGTGATAAGTTTAACTCCGGCAACTTAATTCGTGGGTGTTTAGTAAAAACAGGAAATATTTTCTGCTCTTACAAATAGGGAAAACAGAATAATTTAGTCGTTTTTGCTATACGCCCACGAAGTTGCCGGAGTCGAAGTCCATTCATACGAAGATGGGTCACAAGCTGATTGGTTAAGAAAGTCTGTACACGTCATTTAACGTCAACCCCAAATATGGGAAGTTAGTGCCGAAGGCAAGCTCATCCATCCGAAGATGGGTCACAAGCTGATTGGTTAAGAGTCTTTTCGCTTTGACGTCCTCAAAGCCAAATATGGCAAGTTGCCGGAGGCTAGCTCATCCATCAGAAAATAATTGGTTAAAACAAGTATTACGTCTATGAAATGTGTTTTTGTCACTCGGTAAAGATCTATATGTTAAGTGTATGCTACATCGAGTGTATGAACAGATTTTTTGATCTGCTTATTGACGTCATCGACACAATAACAAAGGGTTACCCTGCCCTCCCTCAACAGTAAAGTACACGCAACTGGAGTCAAAACGTCATCGTTTTACAAACAATTTAAACGCGTGAAAACCGTCAAGTCTCTCTTATCAAGGTTAATTCATATTTTACAACCACTACTCCTCGGAGTAAGAAGAACCACAGGGGAAAAAAACCATGAGAAGATAGATAATCTATCAAACAAACTCGGCTCACATGCGATTCGATCATCAGTCGAGAATTAGCCTGCGTAGGGCCAAATTGGGAAATGGGGGGAGGGAGGGGTGGGGGGCCTGTGGAGGAGGGGACGAGAGGGAATTTGGGCCGCTACGCAGTCTATCGAGAATCAAACCCATGACCCCAGATACAGCGCCACGTTTAGCGACAGCGCATGCCTCCTATGCTACTGAAAGGTGACAAGTCAGAAAAGATGCTAATTTCTATGTATTCTGTTTGAAACTACAGTCCAGAAAAAAAATCTTCTGCAGTTTGGTCTAATGGTTAATTGCATGACTGGAAGGTTCGCTTTGGACTACAACAACTACGGAAGCTATTGTGGAGTTGGAGGCTCTGGGACCCCTGTGGATGACTTAGATCGGTACGTATCACAAATAGCGATACTCAATAATACAAGGCCAATTTGAAATAGACTTTCCAATTTTATAGATATTCTGAAACAACTGGCCCCTCCTGCATGATCAGATCAAACCCTGAAACAACCTCTGGGCTGGTCTAAGTAAGGGCACGGCTAACTCACAGATTGAACCAAACAACCTCTGGGTTGGTTTAAGTAAGGGCATGGCTAACTCACAGATTGAACCTTGAAACAAGCTCTGGGCTTGCAACTTCAGGGCACGGTTAACTCACAGATCAAACCGTGAAACAACCTCTGCGCTGATCTAAGTCAGGGCACGGCTATCTAATTCACAGATCAAAGGAGGCTTTCAAAACCGGATAATCCGTAAAAAAGTCCTCAAATCAAGGAAGAAATCTAACAACCTCTACTCACATGTCATTCCGAGCCTCGGGATCGAACGCGAGTCCCCAGAGGCGAGAGGCGAGTGAACTACAGCTAAACAAAACTTTTGATTCCACTTCAAACCTGTGTAACAAGTAGTTTTCTGGTCGAATTAGAAACATAGTGTAATTTTCTTTCTTTGATTCAGATGCTGTAAAGTTCATGATGAGTGCTACGGTCGATACGATCACTGCACTCCTTATTACATCTATTACACTTCGTACAGGACTGGATGGCATCCAAACTGCAAAATAACCTGCGGTAAGCTCATGTTTTATAAATATTGTTTTAAGCAAGCAGTACAGTCTTTAAAAAACCACGGTGTGTACATGGCAAAACTTATCAAGATTGTTATCACAATTCCCTGCTAAGACTGACGCTAACACACATATACGGACAGATCGAACAGACAGACCACGATTTCCGCTATTATGGCATAGATAAAAAATCAGGGTATATGCCATCTGCATACAAAAATACCGAGTACAGGTAGGCAGGCAGGCACAGGCAGGCTCGTATTCTTGGAGTTCGATTCTACAGTATTTAGTTTGTTTTGTTTTCTTTAAAGGTGATACTGACCCATGCAGGAAAGCAGTATGTATGTGTGATAAGGAGGCAGCAGAGTGCTTTGCCAAGAACAAGTACAACCCGAAAAATAATAATAAATGGTTTTTATGGTTTCGGAAGTAATCTACCTTACGACTGAAGCTTGCGATTTCAATAATTTTACTGAAGTTTTATGAGCACTAAAGGGTAAATAAATTGATCATTAATCATCCTCAATAATATCCTCATCGCCATCCTCTGATCTCTGATTATCATCATAAAGATAATCATCAATTATCATTATTGTTAACATCATACACATCATAGCTTATATGGCATCAAACTTGAATAATAAAAGGCCGTTCAAGCAATTTATAGATTAATAAAGGCCGGTTTAGACGGTTCGATTTTCGCCTACAACTATCGTATATAACACGCTCGTGCCATCCTACAACTCGAGTCGTAGCGTGTAAATCAAGCCTATAACTCGCCTACGACAGACGCGAGCGTGTTGTATACGATAGTTGTAGGCGAAAATCGAACCGTCTAAACCGGCTTTAATTTATTGCTCAATAAATTTATCATCATTCATGATAATGAAATGTCACCGTCATCATCCCAATCGTCATCAGCAAGCTTTTAAAATAAAGTGCCATTCATAACTTTATTGTGGAGTCTATCAATTTAAGCTAATTAAGGACTACTTTACTTTTTACTTTAACTTCCTCAGTTATTGGAAATGGTTCATCACTTCAATCGGCTTTTTTTCAAATGAAAGCAAGCGCGATAATCTACGACGGAAAAATAGTCAATCTTATTTAAAATTTGAGTAGCTATTTTTAATCAGGGATAAAGAAAGTAGGCCTGAAATTTCATCAAGTCAGTCAGTCATGAATATGCTTAGCTACAGGGTCATGACAGTTTTCTGACATTTTCGCCCTAGCTGACAGCAGGGTTCGTGCTGAGGTAACCACTTAAAATCCAAGGAGTATACAAGGACCCAAAAATGAATTTTCAATGAGTATGTTCAGCTAACTATGCCAAGGTTTTACACGGTGGTTGCACATGGCTGACTTTCAGATTTTCCGATATTTCTCAGTGACTAGATCTATTTCAGAACCATGCAAGTAATGATCAAAGCAAAAATCCAAGGAGTTTTCAAGGAGTTTCGCTAACATCGTAAAATTCAAGAACTTTTCAATTGCCCTTGAAAACGTGAATTAAATTCAAGGAGTTTCAAGGAGTTTAGGAGTAGAACGAATCCTGTGACAGGGTACGTACGTGGGTAGATCAAATTAAATACAAAAATCAGCAAATTAAATCCCTAGACTTGGTGAAAACTCGTACGATTTTACTCTTATGATTTGCGTTCTTCAGGTTATTTGATCTTTTTGTTTTTCCTACTAGTTTTAATAAATTACTTTTGGGGGTTAATTTCGATCGTTGACACCATGCTATACATGACTTATAATATAGTAACACCTGATCTTAGTATGTGGCCATGGTGTAGCAATGACTTACGAAATATCTATTCTTGTGAAACATATAAATGAAAGTACAGATCGATCACTCACTCACCGCATGACTCGTCGTGGAAAGATCGAGCAAGCCTAACATCACGAAATAACGATATATCTGACCCCAGACTTGCTAAATTCAGTTAGCTGCTGTCCAAAGTTAGCCTCGAAAATGAAAAATTTGGAACTCGTGGTTTTGGGACTGATCTGTGTTGGTTTTGTGATTGATAGCGTCAACTCCTTCCCGTCATCGCAAGTTAACAATAAAGGTAAAACCAGACTATACGAGAATTTAAAACCCAAAATGTTGAGAATGATATGGTTGGTAATAATGATACTAAGTATTATAGCAGTCTTGTCGACCCTGACTGGTTGGCTAAACCACTCGTAAGACGAAACCCTTCTCACTATTTTTAAAATCCCAGATGTGTAAACGAAATAGGTATATATGATACTAAAAATCTCGCTCTTTCAGTAGCACGGAAGGAATAATTTTTTTCCTTTGTCAGTAAGAAATTTGAGGCGCACTGTGAATTTGCACTGAAACATAAAGTGCGGAATAGAAAAAAAAAAACAACAATTTATTAGTATTTACGATTATTAACTTTGGATATGTGATACTGCTCAATTGGCAACTATTTGTATTCGCCAACTGCAATACATTTTTCTCCCAGAAATATTTTTCATTTGCCCACTGATTTCTGTTTTTACCGCAAATTCAATTACTATATTACTGTTATTGTTTTGATTTCTAATATTCTCTGATGGTACGGCATTTCTATACACACAGTCCTACATATGATGCTACTACTAATGAAACATTGTTTTCCCTTTGAAGACGGTTTCCACTTCAATAGGAATCTGAATGACAGGTTTGGCGCACCTCTGATAGATGGACATAAAAACAACAGGAAGAAATCTTRCGAGTTGAATGACTGTAATGCCTGCTGTTCACACCCAACGTAAGGGACTATGCATATTAAAAGTGGCAAAGGATTTTGAAAAAGAAGGGGTCTGGGGCATTATAGCTTGCGTAGCCAGGCGTTCCTTATGAGTTTTGGGAAGGCTCACAAGGAACACTTGGCTACGCAGGCTAGGGGCATTATCAATAAACACTATTAAAAGGTGAAGTATAAAGTCATCCCTCTTGGATACAGCTGCACAGTTTTTTAAACAGAAGAGATAACTAGCTAAAAACTGGTGTGAGCTGTGTCGGCGTTTCTAATGAAATTTTACACCGTGAAAAGATGAAAAAACTTACTGACGTTTCGGACGCTAGTCCTTAGTCGGAGTAAAAGAGAAAGAGGTGGTAGAAAGGAGTGTTTATATACTGAGAACAAAACAAAAGAAACCAATGAGAACAAGGTGGGCAAGGAAACGAAAGAAACAAATAATTTAAAAATAATTTACCGTTTCAGGTCAATGTAGGAAATATTTATAAATTGGACCACATATACGAAATTCTAAGTTTTATTGAATTATCAGATTTAAATTGATTGCTTATGTGGTTTCCGCTTAAATAAACACATCGTACGATAGACCTTACTGGCCTGTGGTAAGCAAAGGGGATGTGGGCAATTTAGCAGAAAAGAGTAGTAGTTCGGAATTCTTCTGATAAGGAAAAGTTAAAGAAAGCAATTTGCTTTAATTAGTAATGATAATATTGTTCTTCTTCTAATTTTTCAGATGCTGGTTTCACAACAACAAGAAATGCAACTGCCTATAAGTGCCTTGAAAAGCCATTGAAAACAGCAAATAAAGTATCCAGTTGTTAGATAATATGTAATTCAGAATGGATTTTTCTTTTCAGTAAGAAAATTTATCTAGACCACATCTTTCAAATATTCATTTATTTATTTATTTACATGCGGCAAACATCAGAAGGAGTTAACTGTCATCTGTTGGAGGTGAAAATCTGGATATAAGAGAAACAACAATAAAAACAATTAAAAGGGTTGTTTTTTTATGTATGAAATATTCAAGTTCCTGTCATTAAAGCTAAACTCTCTTACACTATAATGCTCTCAGCATGGTAAGGAATCAAAGATGGCCTAATTTACAACTTTGATTGGGTATCAATCAGGAAGGAAAATTACAGAACCAACATGCTACCCAAAGAGGGAAGTGCGAACGGGACTCGAGGCCCCATGCTAGGCATTTCCTTTTGACTAACATAGCAGTAGTATGCTTGCCTCTCACCTTTAGGGTTTGATTCCTGGATAATTTCTGTGTCACATGTGAGTAGAGTTTGTTAGGTCTCTCCCTTGAGTCAAGGGTTTTTCTCCTGGGTCTAAATTGGGTTTGATTCCTGGACTCAGCATCACATGTGAGTAGAGTTTGTAAGGTCTCTCCCTTGATTCGAGGGTTTTTCTCCTGGGTCTAAATTGGGTTTGATTCCTAGACTCAGCATCAAATGTGAGTAGAGTTTGTTGGGTCTCTCCCTTGATTCGAGGGTTTTTCTCCTGGGTCTAAATTGGGTTTGATTCCTGGACTCAGCATCACATGTGAGTAGAGTTTGTTAAGCCTGTCTCTTGATTCAAGAGTTTTTCTGTGCATTTTATTTTTTTTCTTTCACCCCAAAATCTAACAAGCTAATCCAATTCCAAGTCAATCTGTTGTAAGTTATGTCCTGACTTTGATCATCCCAAAGGTTTTTCACATTGTGTATTTATTTGTTTATGTACTGGTGATAGATAATTCTCACCTTACTAAGGAGATTAGCATTGATTTTATTTGTATTTTGACTTGGTTTGCTTTTCTTTTTCTCCGGTTCCGATGTTGTAGGAGCATCATCTATTACTCTGTGTTGTTTGAAAGTTCTGATATTCTTTTCAGGGACTACCTGTAATGATTATAAAAAGCAAGACTTCTCAGACACTGGATATGTAGTGCTCTTCCTTATACATCACCAACAATTTATAGGAAAAATAGAAAAACTCAATATTTCTATGAGCTACTGGGCCTGGTTTTATCCATCAGATAAGCCTATCTACCCTTCATGTACAACCGGGCCCTGGAGAACAGTTTTTATTTCGTAATTAATGCCAGAATAATTATCATTCTCACCTCATCATGTTTTCTCTTTCTCTGTTCCATGGCTTCAAATCCTTTTCCTTTTTCAACGCTCTCAATATAAAAATTGGCATCTTTCTTTGCCTGTGATATCTCTGTTCTCATCCTTTGTTCTCTGGTTGCCTTTTCATAAGCTGTTGAATTGTTTAAGAGAGGATGTCAGCAAAAATCGACCAAAATCAAATTTTGCCGGCAACAGCCAAAACATCGAATTCGTTCATATTTTGGTATTAGGAAGACCTTGATGCGATATAAACCGTGGTATACTTCATTTGCCAAAATATCGCTTTATTTCCGAGAAAAACGAGAAAAACAAATTCGTGCATAATTGACTCTCTGAGAGAGTCAAAATATACTCCAACTTTGGGGG